TCCTCTCCCTACATATATCTCCTCTCTATATCTCACCTCTCTGCACTAAATATTTCTCTCCTCTCTAGCTTTCTCTGGCCCTTTCTCTGTCTCTCGACTCGCTCTCCTCTCTGTCTCTCTCTGCTATCTCTCTCCTGGTCTCTCTCTCTATCTCTCACCCCTCTCCTCTCTCTCTCTCTCCTCTCCTCTCTCTCTCCTCTCTCTCTCCTCTCTCTCTCTCCTCTCTTTCTCTCTCTCTCCTCTCTCTCTCCTCTCCCTCTTTCTCTCTCTCCTCTCTCTCCTCTCTTTCTCTCTCTCTCCTCTCTCTCTCTCTCCCCGACTCTGTCTCTCAAATAAAAGTGCTAAGTGCCAATGTTATGTTCAGCACCTACCACATGCCAGGCACCGTGCCAAGGGCTGGTGACCAGAAACAGCCAAGACCCTGGCTTGCAGGGCCTATGGTCCAGGCCTCCAGTCATCGTCACAAGAAGCAAACGGCCAAGCGTGCTCAGAGCCAGGGTTTGAGGGAGAAGGTTATGGCGCTGATGGAGCTCCTGGGGGCTTGGCCTGGTGCGAGCACCCAGGGCGGCTTCTCTGAGGGAGACGTGAAGGATGAACAGGGCAAGGTGTTTCTGGCGGCAGGAGGAGCAGCATGTGCCAAGGCCCTGTGGTAGAAGGCTGGAGTGGCCGGAACTGTGTGACGGGGGAGCGTGATGGGCCTGAGGCTGGAGAGCGGGCAGGCTGGTCGCTGCTAGACCAGGGGTTTGGGTCCCCAAGAGCCAAAGGAAGGTTTTAAGCGTTGGTGCGAAGCGATCTCATGTGTGTGGCGAGCAGGTTTGAGGGTCCCAAGTGGAAGTGGGATGAGGTGCGGCAGTACACAGGGACGGGGTGACGGGGATGTAGGGTGAGGGTCGCGAGGCGGGAGGCGTGCCGCTTTGAGAGCTCGGAGCTTCTCATCTCCCGAGCACGGGAAGAGCGGCCGAGCTGTGGGTCAGACGGAGGGAGTGGCCGCTGGGCTCTGCCTGTGGCGTCCAGTGTGGCTTCCCAGCAAATCTGTCATTAGAGGAAAGAGGTCGAGAAAGGAACCTGCGCCAGGTCACGGCTGGGAAGAGGTTAAGCTTCCAGCAGCCTCCTGGCTTAGGAAGAGAAAAGGCAGAGCTAATCACCCAGAGTGGAGTCCGGAGTCGCTTTATTCTGAGCTAATTGAGGACTTGGGACGGGCAGGGGCTGGGAGAAGTCCCTGCTGGGCAAGGACTGGCAAGGTGGAGGCGGGGCCTTGTGGCCCAGGAGCCCCTGGCGACTCCCTGGCCATGGCTGTGTGCTCTGTGCGTGTCCCATCTGGGGTGCCTGGGAAACATCTCCCCACCCCCTGACTGTAACCCCCATCCTACCGCTGCAGCTGCCCCTGGGGTCCGAAGCCACCCACTCCAGCCTGTAACCTGACACTGTTTGCCCCCAGCAGGCGCCCCTGAGCCACATTCCCAACACCGAGCCTGGACCAGCCCCTGCCTGGTGCAGTGACCTTCGCCTGTCTGAGCCTTGGTTAATTTTTGCCCAGTTGAAAGGCACGGGGCTCCTCCCCTTGGGGGATATAAGCCTGGCCCCGGGCTGCTCCGGTCCCTGCCTGGCCTGAGCTGCCCCAGCTCCCTCCCTGCCTCGCCATGGCCAAGGGCTTCTACATTTCCAAGTCGCTGGGCATCCTGGGTATCCTCCTGGGCGTGGCCGCCCTGTGCACCATCGTGGCCCTGTCCGTGGTGTACGCCCAGGAGAAGAACAAGAACACATCTCAGAGCCCCAGCATGGCCCCCTCAAACCCCACTGCCACCTCCTCCCCGGCCACCACCCTGGACCAGAACCTGCCATGGAACCGGTACCGCCTGCCCAAGACGCTCATCCCTGACTCCTACAACGTGGTCCTGAGGCCCTACTTGAGTCCCAACAGCCAAGGCCTCTACATCTTCACCGGCTCGAGCACCGTGCGGTTCACCTGCCAGGAGGCCACCAATGTCATCATCATTCACAGCAAGAAACTCAACTACACCATCACACAGGGGCACCCGGTGGTGCTGCGGGGCGTGGGGGGCTCCCAGCCCCCTGCCATCGCCAGCACAGAGCTCGTGGAGCTCACCGAGTACCTGGTGGTGCACCTCCAGGGCCAGCTGGTGGCGGGCAGCCAGTACGAGATGGACACCCAGTTCCAAGGCGAGCTGGCCGACGACTTGGCGGGCTTCTACCGCAGCGAGTACATGGAAGGCAACGTCAGAAAGTAAGCCGGGGCTGGGGCTGCCTGCCGGGGAGGTCCTAGGTGCTGAGGCAGAGCCCCAGGACTCCCCCCTCCGAGGGGGCTGTGGAAGGGAGCCCTCGCCCACCTGGGAGGGAGGAGACGCAGGTGTGCCCTGCACAGATGGGAGAGACACGTGCCCAAGCTCCCCAGCCAGTGCAGTGATGGGACCTGCGTAGACTTAGACTGAACCCCGAAGCAGCACCTGTCTCTTCCCCCAAGCCAGCTGGCGGGACGGGAGGCAGAGAGGGCAGGGATGCGGCTGGAACGGCCTCCCGAGCACCCCTTCCTCTGCAAAGCCCTCCCCCACCCCTGCACACACACTCCCCTGACTTCTGGGTTTGCACAGGGTGGTGGCCACGACACAGATGCAGGCTGCAGATGCCCGGAAATCTTTCCCGTGCTTTGATGAGCCGGCGATGAAGGCCACGTTCAACATCACGCTCATCCACCCCAGGGACTACACGGCCCTGTCCAACATGCTTCCCAGAAGTGAGTGGGTCGGCCCGGGCCCCGGGGTGCAGGGCGGGAGGGAGCGTGTGTCCCCACATGTTCCTGTGTTCCGTGCCCAAAAGGCAGCACTGCACTCCCAGAAGACCCCAACTGGACCGTCACGGAGTTCCACACCACCCCCAAGATGTCCACGTACCTGCTGGCCTACATCGTCAGTGAGTTCACGAACATAGAAGCTCAGTCACCCAATAACGTCCAGGTACGTCCTGGGCCCCGGCTAGCACAGCCCCACTCCAGCTTCTCCATGCTTAGGCACTGTCCGAACCCAGCCCCGAACGCTGCCAGACACGTGGTGGTGGCTGTGACCAATGTTATTCCCCAGAGACCCTCCCTGGGAGCCACAGCCCCTCAGGGCACCACCCCCCCACACCAGCTTCTCCGGCTAACCTGCATGGGCCCCAGCCCTGGCCCGTAGAGGGCTTCCCCCGGTCCAAGAGGGGCTTCTGACCTCTTTCTGCCGCCTTGCAGATCCGGATCTGGGCTCGGCCCAGTGCCATCAGCGAAGGCCACGGCCAGTACGCCCTGAATGTCACGGGCCCCATCCTAAACTTCTTTGCCAACCATTATAACACTCCCTACCCGCTCGAAAAATCTGGTGAGTGAGGGGCCTTGAGGAGGGAGGCAGGGGCTGGGGCGCCCCACCCAGAGGCCGTTGGCCCACGAGATGCCCTCTCTCCCCAGACCAGATCGGCCTGCCCGACTTCAACGCCGGGGCCATGGAGAACTGGGGCCTGGTGACCTACCGGGAGAGCGCCCTGCTTTTCGACCCCCTGGTGTCCTCCATCAGTAACAAGGAGCGGGTGGTCACCGTGGTTGCCCACGAGCTGGCCCACCAGGTAGCCCCCATCCTGGGGTGTGCTGGGAGAGGAGGGGGCGGGGCTGTGATAGGCTCTGCCCTGAGCCGCTGCAGAGGGAGGGGCCCTGGCAGGGCAGCAGGGAGGGGGTCCCAGTGATGCCAGGAAAGCCCCCAGGGCCTGGACCGGTGGCTGCTAGGCCAAGGGCAGGGCCAGTGCTGTCCCAGCCACTCGGGGAAGCGCGTGGCTTTGGGGCTGACTCCCTTCTCTGGCAGTGGTTTGGGAACCTGGTGACCGTGGACTGGTGGAATGACCTGTGGCTGAACGAAGGCTTCGCCTCCTACGTGGAGTACCTGGGTGCTGACTACGCAGAGCCCACCTGGAATCTGGTGAGCCAGCTGCACCTCCGGGGGTGGGGGCTGGGGCCGGCAGGTGGAGGAACCACGCCCACCCGCCAGGCCAGACTGCTGATGGCCGAGGTGGTGGATTATTGTGCAGAAAGACCTCATAGTGCTGAACGAACTGCACTCGGTGATGGCCGTGGACGCCCTGGCCTCCTCCCACCCTCTGTCCTCCCCCGCCGACGAGGTCAACACACCCGCCCAGATCAGCGAGCTCTTCGACTCCATCACCTACAGCAAGGTGCTGCCCCGGCCCTGCCACGGTCATGGGCTCGGGGAGGGAGATGGGGCACAGCGGGCGGGACAGCACCCTGGTCCTCCCACAGCCTCCTCATCCCCTCCCTGGCTGCCTCCGCAGGGCGCCTCTGTCCTTAGGATGCTGTCCAGCTTCCTGACCGAGGACCTGTTCAAGGAGGGCCTGGCGGTGAGCACAGATTCCCTGGCCAGACCTGGGGGTGGCTCTCTTGGCTCTCCGCCCACCCCAAGCTTGGCACTCACACGGTCTGTCTTCCCACAGTCCTACCTGCACACTTTTGCGTACCAGAACACCATCTACCTGGACCTGTGGGAGCACCTGCAGCAGGTGGGTAACAGCCAGCCCCCGAGGACTTCAGCCGGGGGTGCGGTGAGGGGGCTGTCCTGAGTGCTGGGGGCAGCACAGGTAAGAGAAGGTGCTGGGCTCTGCTGTTTCCAGCTGGGGCAGGCCCCGGAGAGCCCTGGTTGCTTGTCTGTGCAATGGGTGTGCTGATGGCTCCAGGGACAGGAGCTTCCTCTTAGTGGGGAGGACACAGTCCCGGGGCTTCCTGAGCCTGGATCCTCCTCCCCTACCCAGAACTTTGGAGCCAGTCTTTGCCCGACTCAGCACTCCTGGCTGCCCTGTGCCCCATCCAGCTCCTGTCTGTGGCCAAACCCTTTGCCCACCACGCCCACCCGCCTGCCTGTCTGCCCTTGCAGCCACCCCGCCTGACCCCGCCCCACTTGGGGCTGGAGTCCACACTCTCCCCTGTGGGCCCCCCCATCCGACACCAGCCTCCTTAGCTGAGGTCGTGGCCTCTTTCAGTGCAAGAACCCATCCCCCACAACACTAGATTCCAGTCCAGCTGCCCCCTTCCACTCCCTGCTCCCCGTGGCCACTGCCCTGCCAGTCCCCATGGCCAGTCCCACCTGCAAGGGGCAGCCAGGGTCTTGTCCAGGCCCCGGGTCCATCCTGGCCATCTCCAGCCCGGCCTCCCCTCCCCTGCCCCCTCCCTCCCTCAGGCCTGCTCCCTGCATAGCTGCAGCAGGACCCTGGCTGCTGCCTCCCCACCAGGACCCCCGGGACTGCCCCAGGCAGGTGGGGACAGCCTTGCACTTTGCTCTGCTGCAGGCTGTGAACAGCCAGTCGGCGATCCAGCTGCCCGCCTCTGTGCGCGACATCATGGACCGCTGGATCCTGCAGATGGGCTTCCCGGTCGTCACCGTGAACACAACCAACGGGGTCATCTCCCAGCATCACTTCCTCTTGGACCCCACGTCCAATGTCACTCGCCCGTCAGACTTCAAGTGAGCATGCAGGGTGCCGGGGGCCAAGCCTGGTGTCTGAGACTGTGGGCAGGCGCTCACCGCCCGCTGCCGGTCTCTGGTTGCAGCTATCTGTGGATTGTTCCTGTCTCGTCCATGCGGAACGGCATGCAGCAGCAGGAATTCTGGCTGGAAGGCGTCGAGCAAAGTAACCCTACCCTGTGCTCATGGGTGATGCTCGCCCCACACTCCCAGCTGCGTGCTGGGGGCTGTGCGGGCATGGGGAGGGTCCCAGCCTCTGCTTTGCTGCTGCCCGGCTGTGTGACCCTGGGCAAACTACCATCCCTCTCTGCTCGCCATGTCAGCATCCGTGAAATGGGGCTGAGAACACTGGGCTGGGTGAGGGTTAAAGGGGAGAAGCCATAGAAAAGTCTTCAGGCACAGGCTGGCACAGGGTTGCAACAGTCCCACCCTGCCAGGCATGAGGGAGTGAAGGTCACAGCCAAATAACTCTGTCTGGGCCCAGGCTGGCAGTGAGAGGGAGGGAGAGAGCAGTGAACAGCATCCAGCGCCTGTGATTGGGCTACTGGGGTAGGGGGCTGGGAATGAAGGAACTTGCGTTTCACAGAGTAGTCAGGGAAGGCTTCCTGGAGGAGGTGAGCTAGTCAGGAAGAATGGGCATTAGCCAGGCTAACGCAGCCCGGAGAGGAGGCCATGGCTGCCTGAGCAGCCCCTTGCTCCAAAGCTCTGGTCCCTCCCACAGCCCAGAACTCCCTGTTTAGAGTGGAAGGCGACAACAACTGGATCCTTGCGAACCTCAACGTGACGGGGTATTACCAGGTGAACTACGATGAAGGCAACTGGAAGAAGCTTCAGACGCAGCTGCAGACCAACCCCTCGGTGGGTGGCCCCTGCGCCAGGACGCGCCGCGGGACTGCAGGGCCGCACGCTTGCTCCCGTGGCCAGCCCGAGCTCACACACTCCGCTTCCCTTGCAGGTCATCCCTGTCATCAACCGGGCGCAGATAATCCACGACGCCTTCAACCTGGCCAGGTGACGGCAGGTTCCCTCTCAGGGCAGCAGGCTCCCCGGGCTCCCTCCCTCGGTCCCAGCACACCCACTTCACAGATGCCACTCGGCTCGCAAGTGAAAGGGGGTGGGTGGAGTTCATAGCAGAGCCTTTTTCTTGTGAGCTGAGTGGCCTTGGGACAGTCAGGTCACTTCTTTGAGCCTCGGTCTTCTCATCTGTAAAATGGGTACAATGAGCGAGGGCCCTGGTTGCTGCATTCCCCATGGCAAATGCTGGCTCGCTGGGACCTCGGGCTCCTGGAAGGCCCATTCTTGAGAGCTTGGACTGGGTTTCCAGCTGTGGCTGAGCTGGGGGCCGTGCTTACTTGAGCGCCTCTGTTTTTTTTTTTTCCCAGTGCCCAAAAAGTCCCCGTCACACTGGCGCTAGATAACACCCTCTTCCTGATCCGAGAGACCGAGTACATGCCCTGGCAGGCGGCCCTGAGCAGCCTGAACTACTTCAAGCTCATGTTCGACCGCTCCGAGGTCTACGGCCCCATGAAGGTAGGGGCCCCATGAAGGTATGGCACCGCCCGGTGGGGTCCCAGGGTGTCCACGCGCCCAGCATCGGGAGCTGCCGGGAAGATTTCCTGGTCAAGTCCTTTCCTGAGCGCAGGCCTGATGGAGGGGGGCGGGAGGGAGAGGTCG